GCCCAGCTGATAATTTTACTATAGCCTATAGCTCCCGCTAACCCTAACCCAGCCCTAATCCCGACCCTAACCACGACCCGGAAATTTGGGGATCTCTGTAAAAAATTTAAAAATCGGCCTAATCTGCCCTCCTATACTATACTGATCTGCAAAATACTTTCACGCAACGTAACTATATAAATGTAGAGTTAGAGAAAATTATCAGTTTTTAGTTTAGAGCATTTTCGCACAAAGTACATTTCGAATAAAAGGAATAATAACTTATTGTTGCCATATTTATCGTTGTTACGTATACAGTACAAAGTAAATAAACAAGCGAATGATCATTGGATCATACTGTGTCTGGCTAGATTTTAGGTGCAAAACTATTAGTATCGCTTAACCCCATGACACTATTCATAAAGCTATTTAACATTTTAATAGCAAAAAACCCATGCTATAAAAAATAGATGTTAAGCACAATATTTATTGGTTAAGTATGCAAGAGATAAATCAGATCTTAGCTTTTGAAGCTTCTGTAGGCTTGGAATAATAATGATTATTTGTAAATTTTTTTTTGAAGAAGTATTTTTATATTGATTTGGTCACGGCTAGTGATTTTGGCCAAAAGTGAAAAAAAATCGGCTAAAGAAAATTATCGGCTTAGCCGGTCGATTTTTTTAAAATCGGCTGATCGATTTGGTATAGTCAAAATATACCATTACGAAAATTTCCAATATAAAAAATGAATGAACCTAAAAAATTTGCCGAATTCTATTCGGCCGAATTTAATCCCCAAAATTCCTGGTCGGATTTAGCCCTAGCAGTTAGTAGGTTCTATAGCAAAATTATCAGCTGGGCACTTTTCACTTAATAGCTACGATTTATTAGTAAAATTCTTAGTGACTTTGGGCAAAATTGATCATTCCCGGCCCTGCCGACCAGGATTCCGATGCATTCCGACTAGGAATTTTGGGGATCTTCCTGTTTGAGTTTTTGATTTCTGTATGATTAGTGCGTGATCAGTATATAAATTGTTCGATCAATATTATATTACATTCGCAACGTCAATTATTTCAACATTTCATTGAAATTTTTTTTTGCTATATCTAATATGTATGATACAAAAATTTATGCCAAAAACTGTTCTTGCCAATTAACTGAAAAAGTTTTGAACATAAGTTGGACTTTCTTAATAAACTTATAGACTTCAAATTTGTTTTGTGAATATTTTTATTATATGGTAACTTATAGTATAACAAACTTGTTTATTAAATACAATACAAAAATCAAAGAAAATTTTGTAAATTTGACTTTTAATACGTAACACTACACACCATATTACACGAGTAGGCACTAATAAAAAAAAATTTAAATACAATCAGGGGTTGTAAAAAAATGCAACACAAGTTGAAATCAGAGGTCAAGATTTTATTAATATTGTCGATGATGTCTTAATAATTATAATAAAGTTCAAAGTGGTGTTCAAAGTATGTATAACGTTTATTTAAAGTGATGGTAATTCATCAACACAGTCATACCTCTAAAATTGTTTGAGAACTCAACCTACAGAAGACCTGTTAACACCCAAACGTTTAGCAATTACTCTAACTTAAGCTTTCTAAGTTCTTTCAACTATTTTCCAACAAATATGTTTGAAAAATCTTAGTAACAAATACTTATGTATTATGTATTTATATAGCACCAAGATAAATAGCTTATTGAATTCGACTTCGGCAAATTCCCAGAATCTATGAAAGAGCTGTAAATAAGCTGATAAAATTTATCAGCTTAGACATGCTTGGCCGGAATCACTAGTTACGGCACAATTCCCCAATAACATTTTTTTGATAAGACATATGTTTGACATTACATTTTTTCGACACTCCTTTTCTTAGATAAGACATACAGTCATACCTGAGTTATATCCCCACTTGGTTATATCCCAACCTGAGTTATATCCCCATTTTTTAGCAAGATAAATTTCCTTTTTTTATATAGTTTATATATTGAGTTATATCCCAACCTTAGTTATATCACCAAAAATGCTCTGGAAAAAAGGGGAAATATAACTCAGATACGACTGTATAATTCTAACCAACACTAATTATAAATCAGGCTAAATCGGGCCAATTTCATGTTGAAGAAATGATTATTAGTGAAATGTCTTAACTAAGAAAAGTATTGTCAAAAATATGTAATGTCGACTATATGTCTTATTGAAAAAATGTGCTGTATATGAAATAGCATGTCGGCATTGTGATGACAGGAAATGAGTTGGCAAGTAAGTAGCTTTTGGGAATTAAGCAACAACCATTAATTTATAGTTAAATTAATTTTTTATATTAAAAAATTAATTTATTATTTTGTTAGTTTTTTAATTTAGATTTACAGACCAGGTCTAACAAGGAACTATTGTGTGAATTTGCAAATATATATATTTTCAATCATAAGTGATTCATTTGAAAAAATTAAATAAGTTGCCATGGCTGATACTGAAATTGGCAAATGCTGATGTCTATATTTGAAAATATAAGTCTTGCTAAAATCAGCATATACTCTTTATTATAAATCCTAACTCTATTCAAAAATTTAAAATTTATATTAAAAATATATTTAATTTCACCATCAGTCATAAAATTTTCTCTATAGAATATATGACAATCAGTACAATCTTGATATTAAGGTTATACAGTATCTAATAATTCTGCTTTATATAGAAAAGACATGCCGCAGCCTTTTTGTGAGTGGTGTATATTTGGTATCACAATTTCTTGATTTTACAGCTTCATTTGGTAGTTGTGGTAATAATTCTTTTAATTTATAATCATAACTTGTTGATTCTTTGTTTAATATTGTTTCAATCCATAGTCCATTTTTACAAATAGTTTCTCTCAGGTAAATAACTAGTTGCAACCCATTTTTAATGTTTTTCTCTAAGTCATCAGTTCTTAAATTATAGGGTTGTATTTTATTATTTATATAAATAAATGTTAATTCTTCTTGGTTGTAGACAGGTGCAATTTTACTGAAACTTATTTGAGTATCTTTAACCAAACCTATGTATACAAGTTCTGTTAACCTCTTCTTCCAATAAATTATGTGCTAAAGTTAATATATAATTAAGTTTATACACTGCCTCTGTCACAACTACTATGTTATCCTTATGGATCTCAAAACCTTCTTTTTCAAATTCAACTATAAAGAAAGAAAATTGCAAATTGTTATAATTTGTGACTATAGCAGCAAAATCTGATCAGGCAGAACCTTAACTACCATTTCCAAAAATTAAATTGTGCAATTCTCGAACTAGAACAAATTTTGCTTTATTGAGTGTGAAAATACTAGAGAATATTTTTGCCCACAGCTCTGCCTTAATATAATTTTCAGAAGGATGACTTCCAAGACTACAGTAAGATGTTAGTATAAACAAAATTATACTAAAAACAATGTATACAACTGTCAGAGCATCTATATTAAAATATTTATTATCTGGCTTCTGACAAAAAAATTGTTTAATTGATGTAAAAGGTGTTGTTATCTAACTATAATTACAGTTTTTGATTTTGTTCTTCATAACTAATTGTTGAATTGATTGTTCTGCCAGATAAAGCTAATGGTTTAGATATTGTTTCAACATGCTAGAAATGAGCCCCAAACAAATACTTTGTTTTGAAACAAAAGGTTATTGTGAGATTTCTGGCTAGCCTATACTATTGAACATTTCTTGATCAACTATATGCTATTTTAATATATTAATAATATAACAAGCATGTTGTAATTCATCTTCTACTAGATGATCCTGTAGTTTAGAAAGTAAAGTGCAATATTTTTTTTAACAACAGATGCTTGGTATAATTGATATTTATTTTATCAATTTCAACAGATTTATCTCTATATACATACTTGCCTAAATATAATAGGCTTGAGATCTCTGATTTATCATTATTGTTGTCACTAGTAGTTATAGTGGATGTAGATGCAACTGCCACTGTTGTTAATAATGTGGCTAAATTCTGGTTCACTAAGAACTGATTTTTGCTAAACAAATTTTTTATGTTAATGTTTTTAACCACAAATGAGATATATGAAAGATAGTTATTTCCAATTTCATAGGCTTGTGCTGCACCATGTGCCTAAATTAAACAAGAAATGAAATTTTTTTTTAAAAAAATTAATAAAATTTAAATTTAAATACCTTTAGCAATTTCAACCTTTTTTTGTTCAATACTTGTAATGGCTTCATAATTTGATTCTTCTAACTTAAAAGACCAGAAATTACTAATCTCATATGATTTCTTCTCATCCTATATATATATATATATATTTTTAATATTAAGGTGACCACTTAGGCCCCTGGCACTTTATTAGTACAAGCGGTAGGCCAATATTAATTTTAGCACCGGCTTTACATATTACATCAGTATCACAAGA